CCTGAAGCGCACCCGGAGACCAACAGGTAGCCAGTGCAGCTCGCACTGGCTACCTGTTAACCTACTGCCATTCCTGTGCCTTAACACTGCAATAAAAAGAAAACATACTATATTATATGCAACTTATTGGCACATACATTATTTGATGACTTGATGAGAATGGGCCACCTTTTCCTCTAAAATATAGGTAATAATATGATTCCAATCAACATGGTCAATAACAATTTACTGATTACAATAAAATTAGACTTTTGCTTATAACCCCAGTAGGGACTGGAATTTCCATTGCTAAGCAAGGCAGTTGTTAAGTGAGTTGTGTTTGATTTTACAACCTTTTTTGCTACAGTTGTTAAGTGAATCACTGCAGTTGTTAAAAGAATCATGGATTGTTAAGCAAACCCAGTTTCTCCCATTGACAATGGTTGCAAGAACCAGCTGAGAAAGTCACAAATGGCAATCAATGACCTGTATAGTCATTATACATGCATGCCATTTGCCAAGGAGGTCAATTTATTTTCCCAAACACCTGAAAGCAGGACACCAAACAATGGATGGAAAGTAATCAAGAAGAGAAGCAATCTGGAATTAAGGAGAAACTTCCTAAAAGTGAGGACAATTAACCAGTGGAACGTCTTGCCTTCAGAAGTTGTTGGTGCTTCATAACTGGAGGTCTTTAAGAAGAGACAGCCATTTGTCTGAAATAGTTTAGGGCCTTCTGCTTGAGCAGGGGGTGGGGTGGCTGGACTAGAAGACTTCCAAGGTCCCTTCCAGCTCTATTATGATTGAAGTGCCTGAATTTCAATTACATGATTGTGGAGATGCTGCAATGGTGCAAAGACCAGTTGTAAGTCCACTTTTTTTAGTTCTGTTGCAACTCTGAATGGTCACTAACAGGATGGTAATTAAGGAACACCTGTAGCAATAACTTTCAACTCCATTGACCATAGTTCCTGGTCAACTGCCAGGATAAAAATGTGTAACCATAATTGAAACATATTTGTTGGTTAAATTAAAGTATTTCACTTATGTAGTAGATTGCCATTGCAAAACTGGCATGATAATCAGAAGCATTTGGAAAAGTCTGCTTTGATAGTAAGAATCCAAGCAATAGAGAGCACCTACCACACATGAATGCAACAGTTCTCAGAGTCTGCTGCATTAGGATCTGTGTTACCGGAGAAAGATTATGATGGGTGTAGTGAGACATTACAATGCCGGAAAACAAGATAGCCATGATACCTGGAAGAAAAAAATCATTATTAGATATACCTATATATAAAATCAGGTTTTTCCTTAAACTGTACTAACTGCAATCCAAAAAATAATCAGAACTGTTCTGCAGCACAAGAATGGGAAAGGTAGTGATTCAGTTTGGAAGCTCAGGTCTAGCATTGCACAATTCAACAACATGAGTTGGGCCAGCTGCCCAGAGTAGCTCAACCCTTTGGCTCAACTGCTGAAGGAACAAAAGCATCTAAATATGCATATGCAATATTTTCACAATATACTTCAAAATTAGGGGACAGCTTAGTACCTTGGAAGGACATGGACTGCTTACACAGGAGCTTTCTATTTGCACTGGGATTAAGTGCTTTCACTTAAGTCTGATTAATATTGCTACTCTACGTGAAATATCAAATCCATATTTTTCTACTGTAAATAAAGACCCAACGCTAGAAATTACAAAATAATTACCCTCCCAATTACATAATTCCAGTTATCAGAAAAGCAATGTAGTATATAAAGGAGAATAGCCAAACTAAGACTTAACCATAGATTATAGATATTGGTTTCATCATAAACAATATTCTCACTCTTTCAATATGGGGAATGTGGTAACGTTTGCAGGGAAATAATGCTAGGATTGAAAAGGCCTCTTTGCGACCAACTTTCTTCTCAAATCTATTTAATTTCAGCTCCAAAAGAAGACTATATTCTCCTCTTCCAAGTTATGCCCACACTCCCATATGATTGAGGGCTACAACTACTTACTGCGCCAAGGTGGCGCAGTGGTTAAATGCAGCACTGCAGGCTACTGCTAGATCAGCAGGTCAGCGGTTCAAATCTCACCGGCTCAGGGTTGA